CTTCCCTGTGAAAACTAATCAAGAAATGTGGGGAAGGTTGGTTTGATTTTTGTGTGTGCTCTTATACTTGTATAAGAGATCTTTGATTTGATTCTGAAGTGCTTGAAGGTAGAATCAAATGTTTGATCAGTCCATGCTGCCTCTCCAGTCTTCATAGAAGACATCAGATGTGTTTCAGAGAAGAGATTTTCCCACTGGTGTATAAGTAAAACACATTTGTTGTGTTTTCACATCAGCCCCACTTCAGTGGTATCTGACTGATCTAATGAAGGATTGTCTTATCAGCTCAGCATAAGAACTTGTCTCCCAGATGCAGTGCTCCCCTGTCATAAAAACATTTCTTAGAATACTGTTAGACTGCACCAGGTAAAGTGAGAATGTACGTGGGAGTAGTCATTTTAATGATAGAGTTCACAAAATTGTGGTAGGTAGTTCTTTTAGAGCAAATAAACTGAGGAATTCTGCAGAAGGATGTTGCTTGTAGAGCCTATGGCTTCAGCACTGGCTGTGAGTGAATAAAGCTGATGGGTTTAGTGTAACTAATATATACTTTTACATACAGTGATTCATGTTTTTGGCTTCCACTGCTGACTGTGTCATTGCAAGAGGTCTGTTACATGGAAATGGGTATTACTGAAGAGAGATGAGATGATAAAGGCTGCCTGCTTTCTCTTGAGTAAAGGAGGGGTAATTCACCAAGAAGTAAGCCAGAAGGCAGTTGGAAATGTAATCAAAATTAAATTACTATTCAATATGTTGCTGTCAAACACGTGGCTTTTCTTGGCTTCTAGGCATTTATTTGTGGGACTTTGGCACAATTTGGCAGACAGGAATATCAGCTAGTAGTTTCTGTCAGGGTTAAAAGGTATAGTACTGCTGTGTGAGAGTGTTGTGTTCACAGAAGGGCTTAGCTCGAAGGCAGTCTGGGTTGGACCTGAAAGCACACAGAGCTTTTGTGTAGTTGTAGGGCAGTGCACTCAGTGTCAGCGTGGGAAGATGAGCTCTGTGAGGATGAATAACTCTGGGGAATCAGGACTTGATTCACGTGTCTCTTATGTTCACTGCTATGGCAGGGGTCTATTCAGCTATTTTTCTGCATGCTTATTTCCTTATTTTAGTAGGTCTTGCATTGTAATCTGTTTGTGCTAACCTCAGTTTATGTTAAAGTGTCAGTGGAGCTTTGAGGCTTTTTTGTACTTAGTTTTCTTTGCTATAAAGTAAGCAGGCAGTGAGTGTGAAATGCAAGTGACTATTCTTGCTAATGATCAAGTAGCCAAAATAGAATAGTAATCCTCTGCTAAATAAGTACTGCCTTTGCCTCTGCTAAATAAAAGCAGGTCTTCTACTTGAAAGTCTGTACTTTAAAGTGTTAATTTTACTTCCCTTTAGCACCTTACAAAATGATGACATTAGCAACCTTGCTAAGGTTTTGACTATGCAATTAGCATAGGAAGTGGGAGAAAGCACAATGTATTCATGAAATGGGTATTGTATATTAACTCCCTAGTAAATGATTTTTAGAGCCTTGTTCAATTATAGCATGACTCTCAAAGTTCATCCCTGAGGAAGAAAATTTAATTGCCAAATACATGTAGCTAATATGATTAGTCAAGGGCTATTTTCAGGAAGTGAAATACTGGTATGAGTGAAAACTGAAGAGGAGCCTGTAGTAAATCTACACTGTTAGATTCAAAGCTTTTTCATTTATTCCTTTCCAGGTTCTGATTGCCCACACTGTGTAAATGCCATTTTTTCCCCCAGCAGACCAGCTGTTTCTGTTTTGAGTGGCAATCTGACTGTGATGTGCTCCCAGGAACATGTGTGAGAACATCATGAATGGGATCAAGCCCTCTAAGGTCTTTCAGCTCCATCTGGAGCTCTGAAACACAAAATTCTCTGCACATCTTCATGCCATCCCAGGGCAAGTGTTGTGCCATAGAAGTACAGCTCTGATGGGCTGGATCAGCCCTCACATCTCCTTCAAAAATGCAAAACTACTCCCAACAAATAAGGCTTCTAGATCATAATAAAAAATTGAGCCAAGTGCTGTGCATGATTTTTAGTAGTGTAAGTGTAGTGTTAGTAAAGGGTTAAACAAACACATCTTTGTTTTCTTCTGAACCTGAGGAGATAAAAAAAAGGAGTTGGGAAGAACAAGACTGTGTTTCTTGCTTTGGACCATAACAGCCAGAGTTAAAGCAGGAAAAATACCTCCTTTTGAAGTAAGACATGTCTGTATAGAAACACTGAATTCTTGACATGGTTATGATGTCTGTGTCCTCTCTGATGTGCAGGTCTGACCTTGACAGTTTCAGCATTATCCCTTTTCCTAAAGGTTGCTTGTGGTAGCAGACTTGAGAGGAATTGGAACTGATATACGCTGAGGTCCATGCTGCTGTAGCTAAATGGGTTTTAAACTGAAGCTTTAAATCAAATATCTGCATATCAGAGTGCAGTGCAGATGAGCTGGAATTATTTCACTGCTTTCTTTTCCATCTGAGCTCTGCTAAATTTGCTGTTGCTATAGTAAAGATCTCCTTGTATTTCCTTTATGGACACAGGCTGCAAACATGTTTTAACATTAAATATACATCTCCTTGAAATGCATTTTATTGTTGTTCTTGCTGATTACTTATACCTTATTATAAGATGAATTTTATTTCTGTAGGAGTCCATAAACATCAGTGGTGTTTTAGTCAGTATCTACACTGTGATAACAAAGACGTGATCACCTCAACAGGGTTGTACTGGAATATATAAACCTTTTGTTAATGATAGTAAAGAAACTTAAGGTAGGATGCATCCTCTATGGATGTCAGGATACAAAAACTTCTTAACTGTCCTTTAAAATAAATTTACACACCTGTAATTAAAGAGGAAACAAAATTTGCATTCCTAATGTATTATGATATTGTCATTGATTTAGGCAGGACTAAGGACACTTCATGATATTGGCCCTGAAATACGGCGAGCTATATCCTGTGACTTGCAAGATGATGAACCAGAGGAAAACAATCCAGAGGAGGAGGAAGATGTTTATAAAGTAATGTCAGAACACAACCACGTGAATTGTTTTATCATATGAGATTAAAGAATGAGCTTATGCTTGAATATGGAATAATGATAGCAACAAGAATAATTACAATATGTAAAACCCCCTCAAATCAGCAAAATATAAATGTTTTATTAATAAGTATATTTTATGTATACATCTATTAAAATGGTATTACCAGGACACTTGCATTTCATCATAAATTTAGGAAGCAGTTCCTGCAGGATGATTCTCCTGCCTCTAAGTCTTTCTCATTAATTCTTATTTTTTCTTAAGCAGATCCTAAGAAAAGGCATGAACTTGGCATCTCAAATTTTTATAGTGGCAAGGTTTAAACTGGAATTGTCTTAACTTCTGCAGTGGTAGCTAGGAAGAAAAGCATGAGATTCTATGCAGCCAAACCACAACAGACATAGTGCTGCATATTTTATAAAGAAGGCCTGGACTGGCATAAAGGTCAACTAAATATAAATGCCAATTTCCAATTTCCTGTGAGGGATATCAGTAAGAATCAACCAGAAAAAAGTACTTGTTTTCCTCTTTGATGCTATTTTATCCTAATGGTGAACACATAAAGTTGGTGTTATAACCAGAAGCAATCTGCAAACCACTTGTCAGACAGCAAGAAAACGTAATTTTCCCCAAGCATTTCAGAAGAAGCAGATGGAAAAGCATGCTTCTGCAGTAACTGTGTCAGAAGCCCCATAGCTTGCTGCTGTCCTTTGCAAAAAGGAGGATGTGGCACTGGAGACAGTGCTGCAGCTACCATCAGTAGATGCATTTCTCTGCCAACCATCATTACCTCCTGTCTTCTCTAGATTGAGCTTCAAGACAGACTGCTGTCATCCAAGACCCACACCTGGCTAGACAGGGAGGCTACATAATCTGGGTCAGGTGTAAAAGAGAGCTGCATGTCATAGTCATAACTTAGCACTTCATTCTCTCTTTCACCATCCATTACACTCTCAGGGCTGATAAAGAGTAACTACTCTTTCTTGTACCTCTGCAAGAAGAAGGAATGGAAGCACTGAAGCTGAATGTTACCTACTTGAGATATGCTTGCGAGCTGTTGCATGGCACTTCATCCTGTCTGAGTGACGACTGTTGCAAACTGGTGCTCTGGGAGAACAGGAGAGAATTCCACCCAAGAGTTCTCAAAAATTAAGCAGGCACATCCCTTTCTGAGGAAGTTGGTGCATGTTCATATGTGGGAATCTAGGTTTCTCCTGTGTAATGAAATGTGGAGAAAGCTGGATATGTCACATTTAGTTGTATGGAAAAGAATAATTAGTGATCACGGTATACTGTCAGTTTGACTCTGAAATACAATATTGTCATTATCACAATCACATCTGTCACTTCAGGAGATCCCATCTGAAGCATCATAAAATTAGAAAGAAAAATCACAGATTATTTGAGTTGCTACTTTTGTATGCATGTAGGAGAGAAAAGTAAGTTATCACTATAAAAAAAATGTTCTGTTAAGGTATCTGATCTAATTTTTTCTTTCTCTTCCCCTGAAACAGAGGAATGGTGCCCTCTTTGGCAACCACATAAACCACATTAGCAGTGACAGACGAGATTCATTTCAACAGATCAACACCACACACCGTCCCTTGCATGTTCAGCGGCCTTCAATTCCATCTGCAAGTGATACTGAGAAAAATATATATCATCAGGCAGGAAACTCTGTATACCACAATCATCATAATCACAACTCAGTAGGAAAGCATGTTCCCAACTCAACAAACGCCAATCTCAATAATGCCAACATGTCCAAAGTTCATGCAAAACACACAAGTTTTGGAAATCGTGAGCATCGATCTGAAAACGGTTACCGTTCACACTCCAGAAGTGACCATGAGAAGCGTAGAAGGCCAAGCAGTAGGAGGTAAAGTTACAAATAAGTATTTGCTTGTAAATAAATTTGTAAATACACTATAAGAAACTTATGCTAAGGGAAATTAATTTGAAGCTTGAGTTTTGTGGCCTACTGATGTATGAAATGCATTTAAAATCGAGCTCTGATGTATGGGAAACGTATGTAAATTTAACAAGGTTTGAAACTAACAGTTTTCCTTAAAGTGGAATTACTAGTTACAGCGCAGACATTGTAATCACCAAAGAATTTCTCTAAATGACTTGTTTTTAAAATACATTTCTCCTTGTTTTCATGGCTTACCTGGATAGAACACGCTACTATGAAACATATATTAGGTGAGTTGATATTGTTATGACATAATTGAAGAGGACAAAGTAGTTTTTCTCCTTTTCTTTTTCTGTTTTCCTTTTTCTTTTCAAAATTAACTGTATGGCAGTGCATATGCTTAATAACTTAAGTGTCAATTTCTAAGTCCAATTTCCAATTCCCATTCTAAAAGTGTAAACTTCTGGTAAAGTTCAAAATTATTCAAGCCCTTTTAAAATGCCAGGCAGAGTTGTGCAGTTTTCAACAGGCTAAAAGATCACACCTGATGGTAGCCCTTGTTAAAAATTGACTTGCAAAGGCTGGAAAAACCACTGGTGTTAGCTTTGGTACATGTTAATGTATGCAGTTCTGTTTTTAGGAGGCCCAAAATCTTTTCTAGTCTTATGCCTGAATATTTTCTGAGATAACTTTTACAATTAGGATCAGTTGGTTTACTTGAAGTGTGTTGCTAAATGGACATTCAGTGCTGGTTTTAATGTCTAGATTTGCATACCTGTTTCAGATTTTTCTTAGGATACCTGAGAACTCCTTAATATTTTAGCCATTTCGCAAACATCAGATACTCAAGAGAGACTGTGTTTCTTCAAATGACTGAATGTCATTCGTTTCTTTTGTAAAAATGTCTGAAATGTATTTGACTTCATTGAGCATCTTCTTATTAATGATTTTCCTATTTGTACCATAAGGAAATAAAGGGAGATCATCTTTAAGAAACAGATAAATTAGTCACGTTCTGAACTGCAGTGCTATGCACTACTGTAACACCTTGTTCTGATCCAGAGAGTTGTTAATGCTTGTCTTTGTTTATTTTGTTTTCTCTTGGAAGCACATTAAAAGAACTGTGTATAAAATTAGCAATATAAAATTCATATAAAGAGAAAAAAGAAGTATGTTCTTGCTACTTGCAGATCTGACACTGGTGATGGACGTCGACCCACTATTTGCCGTGAAGAACATGAAGTCCAAGACTATTGCAATGATGATCATTATTTGGGAGAGCAGGAATATTTTAGTGGAGAAGAATATTATGAAGATGACACTATGTTGTCAGGAAACAGGTGAGGATATTTGTTAAACTGGGAAAAACATTTCAATACATTAGGTACATAGCTGTAAGGGCTTCACTAAGCTCAGTAACACTGAAAGTTCTCTAATGAATTTGACACTCCACAACTGCTGGCAAGTGAAATGATGAGTAGGAATAGAGAGTGTATCAAAGATCTTGAGGGTTTGGCATCATGTGCTGACTCCAGCAAAACTTCTGTACCAAATTCAAAGGAAGCAAAAAGTTCCTTTGCACTGAGTATCAACTAGCTAGTGCATAACCACAGGATCATTTCATTTGTAAATAAAATTTCATGTACTCTGGAAGGTCCAGCTTAGCAAGAGGAACATTTAGAAGTGGTTTTCCTCTTCTGATTTAGCTTAAAAAGAAAGGTGAAACTGGTAAACTATGAACTGAGATCACAAGGTGCTACTAGCTGGACCAGTAAAGAATTGAAGAACTTCCTTTTGAGAATTGTCATTATACCCATTTATTAATAATCCTCCTTTTGGCACCACTATTTATCTCTTTAGTACAAGTACTGAACACAGTCATAGTTGTCCTGGCCTTAATATGTTTGGAATAGGTATTTTAAGTTTTTTTTCATTAGCTTTATGGAAATGCCATCACTTGAGTTCCTTCAACAACTAGGAATTCTTACAAATTTGTATTACTGCATCATGTCCAAATTTGTGTTTAGCTTGGGCTCCTTGCTGCAACTGCAGAATGCTAGTTTTGTAACCTGCTTCCTCTCAGTTTTCCAATTAATTTCTGTTTTTGCTGGCCAAAACTTGAAATGGTGTCCTAGTTCATGATAGTATTTCTGTCCAGTAGGGTTTTCCCAAGGCCCAGTAGTGTTTTTTAACAACTCTTGCCTAATCCTGTGTTTGTAACTCCTGTGATCTTTGCATTTGATAGCTTAATTTCAGATTTAAGAAGAAAAGGCCTTGATTTAATTTTGGTAAATGTAAGCTTTTCTCTGCAACTTTGTTTCACACAGTTTCTTCAGAATTAGACTGGAGTGGGTTTTTCTAACTTGAGAACAGTGGCTCCTGAGTTTGTTTGGCTTTGAGCATTACCAGACGGGTTTGATTTGAGCACTGTGCCATTGGCTTCAGGCACTGATGGCTTTGGCAGCATGGCAGGGCCTAACGTGGCATTGGGGCTACTCCTGTATGCAAATAGTAGGTTTCCAGTTGTTCAGGCAGTGTTTGGCTGCTACTTTGGGAGGAAGTCCTAACATTCTTCTGATGTTAGTTTTTAAAATATAAGATCGTTCCAGTGTTTTCTGATTATCAACTTGTCATGGAACAGAACTTATATTTGGTAATACTGAAGACCTTTCTATTTAAATGGAAAATAAATGCACCTGTTTCTCAAATATCCTGTGATTTAAAAATTATTTTAAATTCCATAATATCCATCTCTTCATGATCTTGTAGAAAGATATATGCTTTCACAAGATTGTGTTTGTCTTCCTTGCAATAGCTATGTTCCCTTGTGCTGAATAAATTCAATAACATCTCAGAAATAACCTCCACTTTGGTCAGTATTTTTTTTATTTTTGAAGTCCAGTGCAGAAGTAGAGGAATTTATTTCCATTTTATCTTAGATCCATAAGTGCACATGCACAAGTGCCAGACATGCTTAATTCTTCTCCTCCTTCTCCTCCTATGCTGACTGTCTGAATTCTGGCAAGACTGGCACCCTACTCTGCATCGTGTTGTTTGCATAAAAGCTAAGATTTCCATGAAAGCTAAATTCTACAGAATTCTCAGGTCACTTAGTATTTTATATGATAATTAGAGGAAAATAACACTCGTCTAAGGTCAGATTTTAAACAAGAGAATTATTCGGTATGTAAAAGGCTAAAATCCATTCTCTGAGTGTCTGTGCTCCCACACATTGCCCAGGGTTCACAAGAGCATGGCAGGAGGATAAGAGAATAGGTTTTTTAATTTGTTTTTAAGCCACATGCAACTGAGGTCTTTCATTTTGGCCTGTACTGATAAGAATAACTTCACTGAAAATATAATTTGATTAAAATGTCACCTGAACTCTGACTATGTAACTAGACTAGTACCAAAGTGTATGCTCACTATCTAAACATCACTTTCAATGCAGAAACTGGATTTTAAAATTAAGTTGTGAAATTATATAATGTAATGTTTAGTTATCTTGCAGGACGAGAAGTAGACCTGAAGATCTTATAGAAGAAAATGAATGCATCAATTTACAGAATCTCACTGAAATAACACTTTCTTAATTGTATCTTAAATGCAGGCACATGTATGATTACCGCTGTAGATATCACTGCCATGACTCAGATTTTGAGAGACCAAAAGGTTATCATCACCCACATGGGTTTTTTGAGGAAGATGATTCACAGATCTGTTATGATACAAAAAGATCTCCTAGGAGACGGCTGCTACCTCCAACACCACCACGTAAGCTCATTGCGAACAATTTGTTTGCAAATGTAGAGTTATTTAAATGCATTCAGACATGTTCCAGATAAAAAGGCTTCTTTTTAACTTGGATTTCAAACGTGCCATTTCTTGATTGCTTTGGCCAGTGGGTTATTGTGTGTGGCAGAAATATCTGTCTGTCCTGAGAGACTGGTCAGACTCTATGGATCCTAGCTTACAAGTCAGTCTTTCTAGTGTATCTTGCCTTGCTTATCCAATGATGTAAGAAACCCAGTTTAATTGGTAGTTTTGACTTGATTTGATTATGAAGAAAGAGCAGTGTAGAATGCCAAAGTTAGCTTGCTCTGGAAGTCTGAGCAGAGGGTTTCAATCAGTGTGCCCTTTATTCACAGCTACAGATGCAATGTTGCTGTCAGTCGGTGCCATTGTGTCGCTAGTGACACACCTGCTGGCACTTCCCTTGTGTCCCAGCAGTTATGCTGCTTATTGATGTTGTCATCAGTTTAATTTACATCTTTACCTCATACTGTTTCAGTAAAGACTAGTGGCTGAAGTAGGATAATTTTCAAGGAAAAGAAAACCAAGGGTGGGCTTTAATGGTACTTTGGTTTTTTCTTTCCTTACTTTTGAATTGCCTTTAGCTTTTTAACATGTTTCACAGGTTGCTCTGAAAAGTAAGTGTTATGCTGAGCTAAGCATCTTATTTCAGATTCACACTGGCACTTTATTCTGCCATGTCAGGAACTATGCTTAATATTCTGTGTTTCTTCTGAGGGAGAAAATGTTTGATTTATAGATTGAATTAACATGATCAACAGATATTTTTACCTGTTTCTTTAATTTTCATTTATTCCCTTCCCAGCATCTTTCCCTTGGTTTTTCCTTATCTCAAGAACAATATTGCTTTATCTGCATTTCTGCAAGCTCTCATGCTTCTTATCTTGTAGTACTTTTTTTTGTATGTTACAGGTCATAATGCAGAGATTAGCAGTGCTAATCCTCTGGTGCAACTAGGCAGACTCAAAACTCTTGGATTTTGGTCTTTGACCTCTGACACTTCACAGGGAGGAGGAGATACTTGGGGTGGCACTTCAGCTGCAAAGGAAACCTCTTTTTAAGGCCTTTTCGTGTTGGTGCACAAGAAACAACACTGAGCTCCATGCAACCCCACAGTGTCCCTACAGGCATTCTCACACAGAGTGTGGTCAGCACAGCCAGGTCTGTTATATGTGTCTTTGGAACCAGTGCCAGCCAGGCAGGACGATACAGGATTGTTTCTTGAAATCTCCACATTTTGTCTGCTATAAGGTGAATTGGCTTTCTAGCAAAACCAGAGTTGTCTTTCATTCTGATGATGCTAGCAGCCAGAGTCACATTTATCTGTGGAAGGATGATCGCTAGGACCCTGTGAGCAAAAAATTGGGTTTCAGTCCATTCCTGTATCAGATACCCTAAAGAAAATGCAGGTATAGATTTAAAAGTATCTCAGAGACAGTGTAGTGAGATCATTATATATCTGAAGTGCAATCTCAGGCTGTTCATAGATACAGAAAGGCTGCGGCAAAATATATTATTATATAATAAAAGAAACATTCTTCAGTGATACCATACAGGTCAGGCCTCCTGTCATAACCATTTATTTAATGTTCAGGAACACAGTTGAGAAATTTTAGAGGCTCAGTATCTGAGCAGATTTTAAGGGAAGCTAAAATCTATTATTTGTAACTAGTGTTTGGGCTATTTGGCCTGGGGAGGAAGCCTTGATATGAGAATCATAGCATTTTAGGGGTTGGAAAGGACCTTACAGATCATCTAGTCCCAACCCCCTGCCCCAGGCAGGGACACCTCCCACCACACCAAGCTGCTCAAGGCCTCATCCAACCTGGCCTTGGACACTGCCAGGGTTGGGGCAGCCACAGCCTCCCTGGGCAACCTGTGCCAGTGTCTCACCACCCTCACAGGAAAAAACTTTTTTCTAATAGCTAACCTAGACTTCCCTTCCTTCAGTTTGAACCCATTACCCCTTGTCCTATCATTGTAGTTCCTAATAAAGAGTTCCTCTCCAGCTACTTATAGGCCCTTCAGATATTGAAAAGTTGCTATTCTCACATAAAGGAAGAAGAAAGGAAAAAGAAAAACAAAAGGACTTGCAGCATTGCATTAAACAGTTTGTGCTAACATCTGGATTCAGTCCAAGTGTACCTTGGCTGAGTACTGCAGTCAGTAAATTGAGCTGCATGTCAAGCTTTCTAGGTGCTTTCATACCAAACTCATCAGAAAAGTATTTGAGAAGCTTCTAGAAGTGTACTGAGAAATGATTAAGATGTTCTTTCAGACTCTTTTCTGCAGAAAAAGCATGTGTACAGAAGTGTCTTGTTTTGGATGAGGGGACTTTTTGGGTTGCTTTTTATTCATTTTGCTTTTGGGACATTTAACATGTTAGGATCCAGGAGCTAAGGCTTACATTCCTGTATTTGAATTTACCATAGAGACAATGGAAAGAGAGACAAAGTTTGCATTAAGGGGACCATATCACCTCCTTGAGGTGCCTGTTTTCATCCAATGGCTCTTTCAAGAACCTTGATTGTTAGTATCCAGCATTAAGTATCTCATGATAACTATGAGGAATCCTAAGCCTATGGCACTTAACATTTCACTTCTGTTCACAAAATTCTTGGTGTTGGAAAAAAAGATACCAAGAAGAGTTTCAATCAGTTTCAAGAGAGTACAATTTTGTATCATTGCTTGGTACAGTCAGATTCTTTCCATTTTTCCACTATAATGCTCACAGCAGTGAGGATGTATCTGGGTTCCAGCTGCTGCTCAGCATCAAGGCTTCCTTTGCACTGGAGCTAACACAGGGGAATGATACCCATGTGCTTCCCAGCATTCTGCAGGCTTTCACCAATAGCAGCTGGAACATTTCCACATCAGCCTAATATCTTGATCCAGTTTAAATTTCTCCTTTTTCCTTTCTAGCATTTACACGAATTACAGCTGAGACCATGGCTGATCATTGTCCTCAGCAACAGAATAAACATCAGGAATTGAAAACATGAGTCAGCTTTGTTAATGTTGCACATTGCTTCCAAGGAATTGGGGATTGGGTATTTCCTTTGGGAAGTCTGGTTCATTAGAATCAAGATTTTGAAACCATGGGGAAGAATGAGGAAACTCTCAGCAGTTTATGGCAAAACTCTGCAGCTGAGTGTCTGAACCAGTCAGCTGCATCACACAAGTGCTTTTTTTTGTGAAACAGCTGCTTCAGATTCTGTCATGTTAGGGTGCTCATATGATTTCTACTTAGGACTGCTTTTGCTCCCATGATGAATCTATCCTTTATCTTATAACCAGCTGCTTGCTTCTGTTAGCACAACTTGTTTTTTACTGGGGGATCTGTTCTTATTTGTGTCACAGTTGACTCACACTGGAATTCTGGAAATAATAGACTTTTAAGGAAAATATGCTATTTTCCTAATGAATTCTGGTTTCCCTGTAGCACACAGACGATCTTCCTTTAACTTCGAATGCCTCCGCCGACAAAGTAGTCAAGATGAGATACCACTCTCTCCTAATTTTCACCATCGCACTGCTTTACCCCTTCACTTAATGCAGCAGCAGGTAAATGCAAACTCTTACTCAACTAATAATGTATGACATCTCTCCAGCTTCTGTATTGTACTTCTGACTTTCATCGTTGTTTGAAACAGCACTAGTGTATTATGTTGTTTGCTGTTGTGTGACTTCTAGGCTAAGTGTAAGTTGGTTGCTGGACACACACAAGGTTTCTCAAGCATGGACCTTGTACAAAACACTGAGAGTGAGCGTTTTGACTTCTGGCTCTTTAAGCATCCACAAAGAGTCAGGGTGCCCTAAGGAATTTTGAGCAGGACCACATAATACAGCAGTTGTCTATTAATCTTTGCCAATGTGGTTACTCACCTCCATTTGTGAGAAGTTGCAAGCACAACATACTCATCTTCTGAGGCTCAGTGCCTGGCTTGGAAAATGCTAATAGCTTCCTATCCTGTCCTTGCAGGACAGAGTCATGTTTTCATACTTGGCTTTCTTTGATATATTGTATAAGCAAAATTTTTTCTTTATTAATGCTGATGCCAAGATTTTGTGATATGAGTAAAAGTAGAAAAAAATACCAGTTTACCAGTTTCAGTCCTGTTCCTTCTTTACATGGCTATTGCACATGGGAAAAATGATAATTTTGCATAGCTGCTGCCTGAAAAATTGGTTTGAACTAACTGCTGAAATGAGAAATGAGTATGACTGAGCATGTGAAATCACTAACTTCTAAAATTCTTCCCCTTACCAGGTCATGGCTGTTGCAGGTCTGGATTCCAGCAAAGCTCATAAACATTCACCAAGTCGTTCAACGCGTTCCTGGGCTACCCCACCTGCCACCCCTCCCAACAGGGACCGTACTCCGTATTACACCCCTCTAATCCAGGTGGATAGGGCTGATTCTACAGAGCACATGAATGGTAGCCTGCCTTCCTTGCATAGGAGCTCTTGGTACACAGATGACCCTGACATTTCCTACCGAACATTCACACCAGCCAATTTAACTGTACCGAATGACTTTAGGCATAAACACAGTGACAAGCAGAGAAGTGCAGACAGTTTGGTAGAAGCGGTAAGTATTACAGAAACCTCCGGAGTAGCCAAGAACGTGTGTCTGTTCAGTTTTTGTGTTAATTTTAAAAAGCATATGGTTCAGTTCACATTAACTCTCTGAAAATGTGGTATTTTCAGTTTCATAGCCCCAAACTGGTTTTAGGCAAAGAGGAGAGCTTACTCGTAGTTGTCATGGAGTAAAGGATTTCTGCTGAATCCAGATATTAACATTAGTGTGAGATTAATCAGAGAACTGAAGATAGTTCAGAATTTTGAAAGTTAAGTTTTCTAGATGAGGGTCAGTTCTGAAGTATCCTTCCACAATGGCAGTAAGGAAGAGATGGTGCATATGCCTGTCCTCTCTGTTGTTTCTATAGAAATAGATCACCATTTTTGTAGTAATCTGAATAAAAGATCAAAAACTCTATGAATGTGGCCATGGTGGTGTTCAAGGCCAGGCTGGTTGAAGCCATGAGCAACCTCATCTAGTGAGGAGGTGACCCTGCCCATGGCAGGGGGTTGGGACTAGATGATCTGTAAGGTCCATTCCAACCTCTAAATTCTATGATTCTATGATGATTCTATGAATCAGTGTACTAAATGCAGAGAGGTGAATAACAACTACAAGGATTGATTGTATGTATACTAAAGAATGTTAAGAATTCTCCTTTATATAAAAAAATATTTGAAGAGAAAGTGTGTACAGCATTTCTGAATTATAGTTACTGTTCTTGCTTCAATCTATCACTTCCTTTCCATTGCTATGAGCTAAACAATACCTGTTACATTTTTTTGCAAATGGGAATTCAACATCTTTTGTCCACATACTCTAAAGCACTGAGAACATATAAAACTCTGTGTTTCAGGCAATTGTTCTAATTGCACCATCTGAGCTGTATTAATTCTTGTCTTTAGTGCATCAGCCTGATGATTGATGTTTATCAAAGACTACTTCCAGATTTGTAAAGAGAAACATCAGATGTAGTGCAACATCAGTTCCATTATCACATACCTGACCCAGTGTGCTTTGGAGACCTTTGATGCAACTTTCTTTACACATACAGTTTAGCTGGGGGTTACTGTAGGGATTCAGCAAGGGGTTTCTAGTTTTTTCCACAAATGAGAAACGTAATGATCTGTCTGTTCTATAACTGCACTGTATATCTCACTCTCTCCCCTCCATCTGCCAGGTACTTATATCTGAAGGCCTGGGAAGGTATGCGAAGGACCCTAAATTTGTTTCAGCTACAAAACACGAGATAGCTGATGCATGTGACATGACTATTGATGAGATGGAAAGTGCAGCAAGTAATCTTCTCAATGGAAATATTAGCAATGGGACCAATGGGGATATGTTTCCCATTTTAAGCAGACAAGATTATGAACTTCAAGATTTTGGTCCTGGCTACAGTGATGAAGAACCCGAAACGGGACGATATGAAGAAGACTTAGCTGATGAAATGATATGCATTACAAGCTTATAGTATTTACCAAGGAGAATGATTCTAATAACAGAAAAAGTGCCTCATAGTTTAAAGATGCTAGGCACTAGCTGGAGTGAATAACAAATCAAAGTTTTGTACGAGTGATGTCACACCTCAAGGAAGCCATAACTAATAAATTTATTATCTCCAGGTTGCCGAAATGTGATCAGAGCTGCAGTTTGTCAAGTCTCCTCCCACAGAATCTTCAGTTCCTCTGTAGGAATAAGGTTATTTTGAAACAAAGCAGATTGTGACAATCAGTTTTATGAGGGCTAGAGCAGGATTCTGAGGTGTAATATCTTGCCTGTCTTTCAACCTTGTGCTGCTGTCCTTCCTAGTAGAGCAGGATTTTGTCAGTGAAAATGTCTGTCTAGGTCTGGCACAGAATTGTGTGGGAAACAGCAACATGAGATGAGCGATGACAACCAATAATGTCATTACCTCAGTGTTCAATAGCATATCAGCTACACGTTGCATATCCATTCTAACATTGTTTTCAAACTTGCCTCCTGATTTCTTTTCTTAATGCTCTTCTAAAATACAGTTTGTCATGCTCTATCTGTTAGAGATTGTTGGAAAAAGAAGTTATATAAAGAATAATCTGTCATATGTAACATCAGTTTACATAGGAAAATATCATTCAGATAGTCTGTTTTATGACTATCACGTTAAGGGCAAAATATACTGGAATAATTGCATTCTTACTAATGCACTTGCAACCAGGTTATAGTAGAATTAGATAAGATAGTTTGCTAAAAATTATATAGTAGAAAATATTGTAAATTAATTGTAATATACAATGATTTGTATTTGTAAAGAGATGTTCTATATTTTGTAATTATTGTACCGTAATTGAACTGCAGCAATATTTATGGACCCTAATTATTGTAACTCTCCACAGAATTCTAGATAGAAGTATTTTTACTTGGAATATATAGATCTATAGCATAAATATTTAAATAGAGCCACCTCTCAGTGTAAATCTCTTTTTGGGATAAAGTGTCAAGTTTGAACTTGGCAACAGAACAGACTTTTTTTTTTTTTTAAATAATTGAGTCAAAAGAATCTCTCTGCATAAGGGATGCACAGTTGACTATTTACAGTCATATATTTGGAAAGGTAAAAGATTTAAAGTTCTTTAAACTTTTTTTTTGAGTGAAACTTAAGGTCTGATTTTTATTTTTATATTTATCCCATGTTGAAAAATTAATAAAAACTTGGCAAATTCTTGCCAGGTTATTGCTGGTCATGAGACAGTTAGTCTTGACAAAGTTTAATGCCTACATACCCTAATATGACACAGAAATCATATTGGGCAGAAAATATTTCCCAGGTAAATGAAAATGCTTTACTTCAGTAGTACTTGCTCTGCTTAGAAAGAAATGTGATAAAATGATTCTACACAGAACCAAAAACCTTGATATGAAAAGTATACTATTTTATTGCCTCTGCCTTTCTGTTGTTCTATGTGTACTATTTTCAAAGATTTATTTTTATGCAATCAAGAGAGGGCTTCGATATTGTTCACAATGCAGTAAAACCCTGAAATGACTTTGAGGCTGAAATGACCTTGGAGGATAATTAAAACACACTGAAAGCTACTGTCTATTTTGTTAGCACTGGATAACAATGACTTGTTCTAACAAGTTATCTTATCAGGTTTTACCTGTAGTTCATATGCTAGATAGCAATCCAGTTCACATTTTTACAAATGTGATGTTTAAAACATGTCAATAAACATTTTGTACATAATGACAGTTTCCTATGAATAGCTTACAGACTTCCTCTGAAATCATTCTTATTTCAAATGCCAGGATAAGAACTTAAAGGTTTGTAAATTATTTCTTGACCTACATCATTTTGTATTAAAACAAATGCAAAATGTTCTTCAAAATAAAACTGTGTAATAATTTTATTATACTTGGGAGTCCTTTTACTATTAGTTTCTCACCAAGAAACTCCAAAGGTTAAATTCTGTTTGCAATGTGTGAAGAATGGGAGGGAATGTGTGGAATGTAGTATCAGTCTACAGTGTCATAGCATGCAAGTCTTTTATGAATGGTTGCTGTTAGCCAGAAAGAAATAAAGCAGTTATTCATATGAAAAAGGAATTATTACTTTGATAGATAAAGAACTATGGAAAGGATTAAGAAAATTTGGCTAAAATCTCCTAAAACATCAAAACAGATTTTTTCTGCTGTCTGCTGGGAAACACTTGGGTAGGTTACCCAGCAGCAGTCACTTTGGTACCCTTTGCCAGCTTACAGAAACAAATTCCAGGAGGCCAAAATGGAGCTTTCTGGATTTGGTATCCCTGTGAAATAACACCGAGCAGTTTTCAAAGTTCCACCAGCTGTGGTACAGCCACTTCTGAAAACCACCTTAAAGGCAACTGAAATTAAACATTGAAAAAAATTGAGCTGAATGACAGAGGGTTTTAATTAATGATTTGTCCAAGGAGACAGGAAAATATGCTGATCTCACTGTATTTTCTTGCTGTTAGTCCTTAGCTTTTAATAGTTTCATGAGATACTCTTTAGGGTAGATAAACTATTTCATGATAGAAAAGTGTTTGCAGAAATAAACAATGAAAGAAAAGTAGTTACAAAGCATGTTCTATGAAGTTAATGGTTTAAGGGAGAATATATGTATGGATACATAGGATTCCTGTTCAATTTTACTCCAGAAGTATATGGAAAATAGTAATGAATGTATGCACAATTACGTGGTAATTGACACCCTTAAACTACTACCAATCATACTAAGTACTCAATGCAGAAAAAGTAGAACTTCTCTCAACAATTAAAGCATATTTTATGAGTCTCCAAATTCGTTTATATATGTATGTAATGATAGAAAACATTAGAAAAGAATTAAATACTGCTAAGTCTTTTACAGTGAAGTAAATTCACTGAAAAGGTGAATCTATAAAATATATTCTTATTTGAACAATGTCCTTTTTTTGAGCTTGGATGACAGAAGAATTGAGACTAAAAATTACAATGCTGTAATAAGAGATGCTTGTGTTCTCTTCACAATAACTCTTCATTTTAACTATAATATAAAAAGTATAGATGCTTTTATTTTTCCTCAAAATCTGTTTCTGTGTTTATTTTATAAAAAATGCATGTTCCAAGCTCATTTCACAGTTTTCCAGTGTTTATATAGCTGCCTCATTTGGTTGCAGGCTAATTGAAATCAGACACTTGGAAAGGATTTTAAGTTGCCAAAACATTAGAATTTCTGGTGTACAAAACACATAAATGTAATGCAGTTTAACAAAGACTGCTATTTTCTGCTGCTTTTAAAAGCCCTTCTCATACTAAAGCAAGTGAACTGAAATGTGTGTACAAAAAAAATTGGTTTTGATCACTTTTCTTTCTTAATGTCATTGTCCCTAGCCAGAGACCTCCATTTGTCTGAAGCATCTGCGGCAAACTATTACCATGGAAATGCTGGTGGTCTCACTTGCAATACTGTTGCTGGTTCAAGCCATGCTGGCAGGTCTAGTAACTCGTAAATTCTTGCCTCAAAAGCTTTTACAGTTAACTAGTTTTGAATACATAATATTGTATCATCTGCATATTTATAGCAAAAATCTATATCTGGGTAGAATTGGGAATAATCACACTGTATTATTTTGTTAAAGTATAACTCTGGAATTATCATCCTATGTTCTGCAAGCCAGTAAGGTGTAAAGGATGGTTCATTTTAGCTAGCACACTGCCAGTGCTCCATGGGGCATGTTAGAATATTTTGGACCTAAATGTCCCTTAGCAGACTTGACTCTGCTAAAAGAACAATTTTAACAGGAATTCAATATTATCAACCAGATATAACGCAGGAGAAACTAATGGAAAATTGGTGTTACCTAAAGATTTCCCCAGGGCAACAAAACTTTCAGCCATTTCTTTAGCACTGCATCAAAGAAATGTTATGAAGGAGCCTCAACATTCTATAGCAGTGAGGCTAATAATGCATTAAGAACATGAAAATATTTAAGTGTTTAAAAGGGGAGGAATATGCAAGGTGTCTATGAATGTTCAGAACTGCAAGAAAAAATGACATTTCAGAAGAAATGCCCAATTATCTGACTGCTCAGTGCAGCAAAATGTACCTGAAGAGGACACACATAGTTTGGCATGGATATCTAACCTTGCAATTTACTCATCTTTTTAGAGCTTGACATAATGGCAGAGGATAGCCCTGTGCACGTTCAGTGGTAAGTTATGCAAGCCAGTGGCTAGTTAATCCTCTGCAGTTGCATAATAACAATTCCCATCTTGCATGCCCAGAGTGGAATCCCATGCTGTAAATCTGCACATTCAGGACCTTCAGTCTTGCCAAACTGCTTCCCCTCTCAGCTGCCCAGGACTGTGGTAAGTCTCACCAGTATATATTACCCGGAGCATCCTAATTGTATTCCAAATGCCACTGAGACACTTAGCAAATACCTTTAGAGGAAAATCTCAGAGTCACAGGTGCAGAATAACAGTTATTTGCCATTAAAAGGTACCCCATATGCCAGCCACGCTTTTCTCAAACACAGCTACATCAGATCAATTGTCTTTTAAACTCAGCTAATCAATCACCTATCACTTGAAATACTCTTTTCCCCTCCTTTCAAAAGAATGCATCAGACACATAGAAAGGGTGTACCTGTCTCCTTTTGGAGCAGAGTTCACTGCTATCACCTTCCATCTTCAGTATTTCCATTTATCTTTATGCAGACACTAATGAATTAAGTCCTGTCCCTCAGCTGGCTGCAGGGCTTCCAGTCACTGCTTTACAGCAAGCAGCACCAGGTACAAGTATCTGCCTTAAACATCTGCAGCTGTCCCTCCAGCCAACATCTGAGTCAGCAAGGTTTCCTACAATCTGTTCAAATGGTGTAAAATTCAAGGGTTTTATTCTGTTTGCCACAAGTCCTGAGCAATCTTAGGCTACAGAAGCTTTTACCTTATGATTTGACAATCTCTTAGTCAGAAGTTATTTTGCAATACTTAATAAACAGAAACTAATCAATAGATTCAATTTCATTCAGTGAGTTCAGTTTCATTAGTTTAGTTTTGTTGGTTTTAAAAAAAAAATGAGTACCTGAAAGTTGGATTGACACAGAAAACTGACATGCAATGTTACATGTCTTAATTTACACACCTGAAGATAAAGCAAAGATTTAAGTCCTAACTAAAATATAGCATTGGTTCACTGAATAAGCTACTTATCTTTTAATTTAGTAAGCTCTCTTCCCCTATCATCAATCTTTGACCTTGTCCAGTTACTTTAACATTTCATTTTAAATGTAGTTTGGCTGTGATTTCTTTTTTTAATAAAATTTGAGTGATAGCAAGGCACCATTCAGAATATTTGCTGAAAAATATCTTTTGCACACAATCATCTTTGTACAAAGACCAGTGACTTTAAGGATGTTACAGGAAGTGCAGATCTGCGCTGACTGATAAAGTAGTACAACTAAATCAGCTTAAATTGTGAATGGAATTCTACTAAGCTGCTTGTGGAAAAAACCCAACAACAACAAAAAAGCAAGCAACCAACAAACAAACAAAACCCAACAACAAAAAACAACTGAGGACACATTCCAGTTTTCCAGTAGATTTTTATAAAAATCAGCTCCTGCTCTGCATTTTTTAGAAAAATAAGTTTCTGATAAATACAGTGAATGTCTTCTTCCTGATCCCATATAGTTAAGATTGCTGAGTATAGCAAAATCTAACTTTGAGTGAGGATTTGTAAACTGTGCATTCCTCTCATAAAAAACACATTTGAAAAGCTTTGAGCACATACAGGTTCCTCTCTGTCCTGTGAATCCTGATATAAACTGCTTTGGCCTGTGAATATGAAATTGCATAAGTGCTTGTATTTACTTAACCATTCTTTGCAGGATGTGGGGATTGCTGACTAGCTGTTATCCAGGGTAACATTCTCACAGCAGTTAAAATCCTTCCTTTAAATAACAAGGCATACCATAATGATTTTCAAAGTAGCACACATTAATGTCTTCCATTCCTCATGCAGTTGCACAGTATTTCTGGCTTATGTGCACAACTGTCTTGTCATTTAGAAACAGCTTATCTTCAGCAAAAAATTTGAATAGTACCACAAAAGATCATATTTAACTAAAATTAGTAACTTAAGGCAGCTGATTAAAAACAAAATTAGTAGATAGTTTAACAAAAAAATGGTTCAAATTAATAGTTATTTTAATAAGATATGTTGTTTTGCATGGTATTTATCATGTTGGCATGTTCAGTATGACATACCAATGTGCTGATGAAAGCATAAGTAGCAAAAGATGTGAAAGGATGAGAATATTTATTTATCTCTGTGTTTCCAAGGTCTTAGGCTTGTATACAGGAACATTCTTCTCCTGAAGTGATGGGAGGCCCTTAATTATATCTGCAGCTTTCTCTGCTATCATGATAGTTGGGGCATTCAAATTTCCAGTGACAATACTGGGCATGATGGAAGCATCTACTACTCTCAAGTTTTCAATGCCAATGACTTTTGTTTGGGGATCAACTACAGCAGTGCTATCTGAATGCTGACCCATTTTACAGGTGCAGGAAGGATGATAAGCACTATCAGCCTTCTGCCTTATGAAAGCATCTATTTCTTTGTCAGACTGAACGTGGTTTCCGGGTTGAATTTCAGGCCCACGGAAGTTTTCAAAAGCTTTCTGAGCAAAGATTTCTCTGGTCAACTTGACACACTGGCGGAATTCCCAAATATCTCTTTCTGCATAGAGTGAAAATAAGAAAAACGTAAGTACACCTTTAATTTACCAATGCATACAGAATGCATAATAGAAAAAAAAAGCATTGAAGAAAAAAGGCTGGAGGGAAAGCCTCTCACTTATTGCTGAATGCCATGATAAAGCAGAATATTTCTCAAAGTAACAG